TGCTCCAGAGAGACAAAACTTTTTCTCCCTTTAATTCAAATACATCAAGGGAAAACACCGCTGTTCGCTCAGTCCATTCCCCCCCTCCTTTTCTTTTTCGCTTATGCAAATGGAGGGTTAACCTCTTCACCTTTTTCGCTGGGAGGGGGGGGAAACGTTTTTAGTTCTTTTTCTTTGCATTTTGACAACTCACAGTTAAGCCGATCTTTTCTTATTCTTTTCCATTTTTGCGGATGGTCGCTTTATCACTCGGTGACGTCTGGTGGCTCCGCTAAACCCCGTTCGGGGTCGCTCACGCAGCAAGGTCCATTGGGGCAGGGCATGGCGGGAGCCTCGTTCTCCGACCTCTCGGCCGAAAGAGCGACTCCCCCCTAGTGCGCCCTAAAGCGCCCCGGATCCGAGCTCCTCTCTCCTGAGGGGCTCGTTCGGGTCTCCGCTCGCGCGGATTCCCTCCTCCACCGCGGGTGGGCGAGGCGCCCTCGGGAGCGACCCGAGGAAGCGTCCGCCATGCGCGGAAGCCAGACCGGAAGCCCCTAGCTTTTAAAAAAAAAAAATCATAGAGTTGGAAGGGACCTCCAGGGTCATCTAGTCCAACCCCCTGCACAATGCAGGGTATTTACAATACCTTCTGCCCCACACACCCCCAGTGACCCATGCCCAGAAGACGACTCAGGAAAGTTCTAGAACCTTCCACTCGGAAAAGTTCCAGAACCCACTGACTTGTGGGTTAATGACCACTTCAGATTGGTTCCACCACCCCATCACACAAGAAACTTGAAGGGTGAACTTTATCCCATACTTCCACTCAGTGTTCCCTCTAGGCTGAACTAGTGTGAGCTAGCTCACCATTTTTTAGCCTCCGGCTCACACATTTTTGCCTTAGCTCAGGAAGGATGGCTCCAGAGCACACTAATTTATGCAGTAGCCAAATCGTTCACTCACAACTTTAATGCCATAGCTCACAAAGTAGAGTTTTTGCTCACAAGACTCCACAGCTTGGAGGGAGCACTGTTTTAGGGGTGAAATCAGAGTTAACATAAAGTGGTCATTTAGCTCAGATTAATTACTAAGGAGCATGCTGGGGTTCAACAGTGATGTCTTTGGGGCAGAGACCCACCTGCTTCAATTTATATGCTCTTACAACACAATCCTATGCAGGCTTAAAGGTAAAGGTTCCCTTGCTCGAAAGCCAGTCGAATCCGACTCTAGGGATGCAGTGCTCATCTCCGTTTCAAAGCCGAAGAGCCAGAGCTGTCCAAAGACATGTCCGTGGTCATGTGGCCGGCATGACTAAACACCAAGGCGCACGGAACGCTGTTACCTTCCCACCGAAGTGGTACCTATTTATCTACTTGCAATTTCTTGCTTTCGAACTGCCAGGTTGGCAGGAGCTGGAACTAGAGACGGGAGCTCACTCCGTCATGCAGCACACTCGGGTCTCGAACTGCTGAACTACCAACCTTCCACAGCCTGCAGTTCAGCGTCTTAACCACTTGAGCCACCGCAGCTCCCCTTATGCAGGCTTACTCGAAAGTAAATCCCACTTTATTGCTGCCTAACTCCCTGGAATAAGGAGGGCTATCAGCCAACAGTTAAATTACATATGCAGTATCCGTGCATGCTATTTTGGACAAGTCCATACACGTTAATAAAAAACCAAATAATGTTGATATAAGCCTCAAACCGGCAATCTGAGGAAACTTAATGGGAGATTTCTCTACTCAAACCAACATGATTCAGAAGGCCAGGCTAGGACCTTGGTGTTCAAACCCCTTCCCACTTGGCCATGAAGCTTACTGGGTGACCCTGGGCCGGTTACTCTCTTTTCTCCAATCCCTGCCTACCTTGCAGGACCGTTGTGAGGACAAACAGGAAAAGGGAGAACGTCTGTACACCACCTTGAGCTCCTTGGGGCAAAAGCAGTGCGATAAAATGCACTGGATTATTCCACACCTTCCCTGAACCCGAAGACATTTTAAATCCATCTCTTTGATAAAAAGGCAGCGTCTTTAACGTATTTACTCAGCAAAGGCTTAGGCCAAAGACTCCAGAAGTCATTTTTACTCTCTTGCTTTAACAAGGCCAAGTTCTTAAAACAGAAGTCAGGTATACGCAGAACAAATGCGGTTTGTATTTCAGACAGTGGCTCTGTCTGAAAAGGGATCTTAAAACACAACCCCTTTTAAATTTAAAATTCTCAGCTAATAAAAGCCCTGTTCACAAGTTACAATAAACACGTACATTTGTTTGTGAGGAAGTGCCAACGTGTGTTCAGTTTACAAATAAAACCGGGAACTAGTACCTGGATAAACATGATTTCGAGAGTACATTCAGCTGTACGTGTGTTGAATACAACAGGAGAATCACTCAGTGCGCATATAGAAACAGAGCTGGAAGGGATCTCAGGGGTCATCTAGTCCAACCCCCTGCACAATGCAAGGAATTCACAGCTACCGCCACCACCCACTCCCCCCAGTAACTCCTGCTCTATGCCTAGAGGAAGGCCAAAAACCTGGATCCCTGGGCCAACCTGGCCTGGAGGAAAATTCCTTCCTGAACCCAAAGTGGCAATCAGCATTTCCCCCTGCCACGAGACCTAAGCACTGAGGCAACCCTTCCTGCCCTCCCTCCAGGGCCGGCTCACTCACTAGGCGATCGCCTAGAGCGGGACGGCCCTTAGGGGCACCAAACTGCACCCGGCCCTGTACTCTGGGAGTTTCTTGAGTATTTGTGCTTTTCATTCTTCCTAAAATGCATTTATTTTTTTTAAAATTGGTGGGCGCATGGGGGGGAGGCAGAAGGGATCCTCGCCCACAGTCCAAAATAAGCTGGAGCCGGCCCTGCCTCCCTCACACAATCCACCTAAGTTCACAGAATCAGCATTGCTCTCGGAAGGCCATCTAATTTCTGTTCGAAATCCTCCAAAGAAGGAGAGCCCACCACCTCCCGAGGAAGCCTGTTCCACCGAGAAACCGGCTTCGTCAGGAAGTTCTTTCTGACATAATCAAGCGTACGCTGAGCATGGATTGTTCATGCGATCACTGTTAACGTGTGACCAGGGCCACAGTCTTCTTGAGGGCAGCATGCCAAACCCAGGTCTTGGCTCCTAAACTAGTGCAACTGTCCAGATCGGCCATGAATTCATCAGTAGCCAAGAGTCCACACATTTTTCATCTGAACAGTAGCACTGAGCAGGGAAGCAACGTGTATCGCTTGCCTGCCCCCTCCGTGAACACTGCGGCACAAACTTTTGGGAACTAGCACAGCCCCACTTCCAGACGGTCTGCGAACTGCCACTCAAAAGCTCCCACATTCCCCGGTTAAGGGAAATCCAACAGGTTAAGGCTTCGATGTAACCAAGCCTGGATTCTTTATTTCTAGCCACCTCGCAAGGAGATTTTAACAAGGAAGGAGGAGGAGGAGGAGGGAAGGTACCAACTAGCTGGTTTTGAGACCAGGCAAACGCAAGTCCGCTTGCCATATTTAGCTAGCAAGAGGTCGATCTTTAAGAATCAAGAGATTTTCACACTGTTGGCACTGCTATGGGCAACTCCGAAGGGGGGGAAAGACCAGAATCCTTGCAAATCTGGTCTTTCTCTCCTCCCCCCCCCCATTGCCAAACTTTGCCCCTCAAGAAAGCCTTTTTAAAGACCAACAGACTGATGACTGTGCATGAAAACCTGTGTGGCTGTGTAAAGCACCTAAAGGTAAAGTAAAGGTAAAGGTTCCCTTGCTCGAAAGCCAGTCGAGTACAACTCTAGGGTTGCGGTTCTCATCTCCGTTTCAAAGCCGAAGAGCCAGCGCTGTCCGAAGATAATTACAGCATTCACAATGGTTCTATTGTTATCAGAAGAAAACGATTCATTTTTCTATAACCCTTTCCGCCCCCTCTTAGTGTTCAAAACTACAAACCATCAGTTCATTCCTTTCAGTTGCAGGCAAAAAGTCAATAAAGCGGTTTCGAGTTTGCTATAAACGCGGATCCTGTCTTCTCCCTAATCAAAGCTGTAAGTTTAGCCATCCCGGCCAACTCCCTCATCTTCACAACCCACTCCTCTGTTTTAGACAATATCGGACTCTTTTTATGGTCTGTGCACTCTCACAAAATACTACTGAGGTCCTTCTAAAATATATCTAGATTTATTACACGTTACTATTATAGCAATCTTAGAATAATTGGAAAATCACAAGAAAGTGATAAGGTCATCCGAAGATCCTGCTGACAAGTTTGTGATATATCTATCTGCACCCACAGTTTGTATTAATGTTTATGCAGTAACGCTGAGACACAATGGATTTATTTATGTATACCTGACTTATCTTTTTTATAAAATAAAAAATTATTTTTAACAAAAATAAAAGCCAAAAGCTTCTTTACCCATACTTCCACCCCCCCCTTCAGAAGGGCATACAGCTGCAACCCTTGGAGATTCAGTCACCACTGCACAGTAGGGCTTACTCCCAAGCAGCGTTCCCTCTAAGCTGAGTTAGTGTGAGCCAGCTCACCGTTTTTCAGCCTCCGGCTCACACATTTTTGCCTTATTTCAGGAAGGAGGGCTCCCGAGCAGACTAATTTATGCAGTAGCCAACTCGCTCGCTCACAACTGTAACGCCAGTAGCTCACCAAGTCGAATTTTTTGCTCACGGGGCTTCACAGCTTAGAGGCCGAGTAAACACGGCGAGGGCCGGTGGGAGCCAGGGCTCGTCCGGATTCCGCCTGCGCCCGCTACCGAAAGCTACATCCCAGCGCCGCGCCCTCGACATCAAGGCGAGCGCCCTCTGTGCATGTGCAGAGTGCCGCCTTCGCACGCGTCGCGGGTCAGAACAGGGCGGGGGAAGGACGAGCCCCGCCGGCACCTGTGCGAAACCAAGCCATCGGCTTGCAGAACAGCGGGTGGTTCTGCGTCTCCAGCGTCCAGCTCCGTCGGAACCGCAACTGGGCTTTCCAAAAAGCCCCAAATCCAATCAAGCCCCCCCCCCCCGTTGCATTCGGCACTTACCGATTCAGGGCAGCGGTCGGCGAGAAAGGCTGGCTCGGAGCCGACGGGGCTGCTGCTGCCCGCGACGCTCCCCCTGGAGGGCGCAAGGCCGGCGCCCTCCTCCGCCCTCCGGCCGGCCCGGCGCCACGTGCCGCATGGCCGGGCGACTCCGCAGCCCGCCCGGGCGAGCGTAAGAACTGCCGCCGGCCGGGAGATGCCGGATCCAGCCCTCAGCGCCCTGCCCAGCCAGGCATTTGAGCGGCGCCGGCCGGGGAGAGGCGGGTCCGCGACGAGGCTCCCCGAAGCGCGGCCGAGAGCGCAGCCGCCCGGCTCCCCACCCACCCCGGTCGCGGCCACGCCTTCCCCGGAGCCCTGGCCTGGCGGGAGGGCGCCTCCCAGCTCCGGCTGCTGCTGCTGCTACTGGGAAGCGGTCTGGAGGCGAGAGCCGCCGCCGGCCTCTTTTCCAAAGCGCAACAAGTTGGCAGTCCTCATTGGATCGGGAGGAAATGCCGGATCCCGGTAAGAGGAGGAGGAGGAGATTGGATTTATACCCCGCCCTTCAACACCCAAAGGAGCCTCAAAGCGGTTTACAATCTATTTTCCCTTCCCCTCCCCAAAACAGACACCCTGTGAGGGAGGAAGGGGCTGAGAGAGCTCTGACAGAAACTGCTCTTTTTCAAGAACAGCTGTGCCAGAACTGTGACTTGCCCAAGGTCATCCAGCAGATGCAAGTGGAGGAGTGGAGAATCAAACCCGGTCCTCCCAGATTAGAGTCCCGGCACTCAACCACTACACCAAATGGGGCGTCTGGGGACTCAGGGGAGCCTAGGGTTCAAAACAGTCCAGTGGCACCATTAAGACCAAGTTGTATTCAGGTACAAGCTCTCCCTCCTCTGTGAGGGCAGATCTGCGAGTTCCTCCCCCCCCCCCGAGTTCCCCCCCCCCCCCCAATAGCTAGCAATCCAAAACAGTCCAGTGAAGCCTGAGTGGTGGGTGTTGCCTTCTGACACACTTCTGGTGGTGCCAGGGGGTGTGGCATATGCAAATAAGTTATGCTAATGAGTTCCTGCACCTCTTTTTCTATGAAATGACCCCTGTACAGTAGGACCCTTCTGGTGCAGCTTTGTTGCAGGGGTCCCCAAGCTTTTTTGAGCCTGTGGGCAACTTTGGAGTTCTGTTTCACTCCCCTCCCACCAGCTACCTTCTCTCTCTCTCTCTCTCTCTCTCTCTTCTTCCCCAGCGGCCCCCCCCCCCCAGCCTGGGAAAGGAAAGGGAAGCACCCTGGCCCTTCTGGTCAATTTCACTCTCCTCCATCAGCTGTTGGGGAGTGAAACTGACCATAAGGACCAGGGCAGCTTCCCTTTCCTTCCCCAGCCTCCCCACTGCTGCCTTAAAAAAGTAGAATTGTACTATGTCCTAGGTTTCATACTTAGAACATTATTAGGATGACACAATGCTTGTCGTTTCTCCTTGTAGCATCTCTGAAATGATTAGGGTAGGAGTAAGGGGAGGAGTTTCAAGAACAGCGTTCGTGCGCCTCGGTGTTTAGTCATGCCGGCCACGTGACCACGGAAATGTCTTCAGACAGTGCTGGCTCTTCAGCTTTGAAATGGAGATGAGCACCGCAACCCTAGAGTCGGATTCAACTGGCTTTCGAGCAAGGGAAACCTTTACCTTTTTTCAAGAATTAAGTTCTCAGGAAGCATTTATCTCTTGCATTCACAGCATTGATACTGAAGGAGAAATAAACCTCTGGCTTAAATGTCTTGCTGATTCAGTACCTTTAAAAGAATAAAAGTTTCGATATTGGAAAGTCAGAGGCATCTGAACAAATAGTGTCATCACTGAAAAGAAATGACTGTGCAGATACTGGATGGCAGACATGTATTTTTAATATCAGTTGTTAAAACCCTTAGATGAACAAAAATATATTTTACTAGTCTGGTATGAGGGTCAAGTATGAGGCCCATCCAGTCCAAAACTCTGTATCACACAGTGGCCAGAAATACCAGGTGCCATCAGGAGGTCCAGCAGTGGGGCCAGGACACTAGAAGCCCTCCCACTGTTGGCCCCCCCAAGCATCAAGATGACAGAGCCTCACTTGCCCCAGAGCCCCTATCTATACCTTATGGCTAATAGCCACTGATGGACCTCTGCTCCATATGCTTTTCTAATTCCCTTTTGAAGCCGTCCATGCTTGTAGCTGCCACCACTTCCTGTGGCAGTGAATTCCATGTGTTAATCACTCTTTGGGTGAAGAAGGACTTCCTTTTATCCGTTCTCACCCGACCGCTCAGCAATTTCATGGAGTGCCCACGAGTTCTTGTATTGTGAGAAAGGGAGAAAAGTACCTCTTTCTCTACCTGCTCTATCCCATGCATAATCTTATAAACCTCGATCATGTCACCCCTCAGCCGTCGTTTCTCCAAGCTAAAGAGCCCCAAGCGCTTTAACCTTTCTTCATAGGGAAAGTGTTCCCTATGTTGCTCAGTTGTCCAGATGACTGTCTGGTAGAGTGATTGGAAAAAAAGGTCTTCTTGATCTGAAGAAGCCATCTACTGCTTCTTGTGCCAGGAGTATCTGGATTTATTCAGTAAGAACACCAATTTCCTTCATTCTGTAATATATCTAATTAATATAGAAATACTTGCTTCACATCTTCATCAATCCTTTGCTCCCCAATACTGTTTTACCTAGAGGCTGCTGGAATGCCTTTCGGCATGCTTAGTACTAGACTTTAACCCACTTCCAGTTTGGTGTAGTGGTTAAGTGCACAGACTCTAATCTGGGCAGAACAGGGTTTGATTCCCCATGCCTCCACTTGCAGCTGCTGGTGTGACTTTGGGTCAGTCACGAGTTCTTTCAGAGCCGTTCTCTCAAGGGCAGCCCTTGAAAGAGCTCTCTCAGCCTCACCTACCTCACAGGGACATCACATCTGGTTCTTCCAACACCAAGGTCCCTCCGCTCCCTAATCCCGTCTTGAGCTGGTTCCCGGCAAGATGAGATATAAATTGAAAGTAGGTTCAGGATGGACAAAAGGAGATACTCCTTTACACAGAGAGTGATTCAAATGTGGGATTTGCTGCCAGAGGATATAGTGATGGCCACAGGAATAAACAGCTTGGAAAGGGGGTTAGATACGTTCACGGAGGATAAGTCTATCAGTGGCTACTAGCCATGGTGACTGAGGGGAACCTCCACATTCAGCGGCACTTATCCTCTGAATCCCAGTGCCAGGAGGCAACACTGGGGGACGGCCTCGGCCTCCATGACCTGCTGTTGCACTTCCAGAGGAACTGGTTGGCCCCTGTGTGAGCCAGGATGCTGGACTAGATGGACCACTGGTCTGAGCCAGCAGGGCTCTTCTGGTGTTCTTATGAGGTACACTTCCAGGAGCTGGGCTGAGAGACAGCAACTGTTCCAAAACCGTCCAGAGAGATTCTTGGCTGAGTAAGAATTTGAACCCATGTCTCCCCAGTTCTCATTCACTAACCACTATACCACACTGCTGCTCAGTATATCAGTTTCATTCAAGTGGCTGGATCAAGAGCGGCCAGGTCTCCTCCCTTTTTTGGTGCTTGGCTTTTTGGATTCTGCCTTTTCATATTCAAGTCTTGGCTGGTCTGTCAGCGGCCTATTGTTCCTATTGTTTTTTGAACGTTTTGGAGTTGCCATTTGTCTTGTGAGCATTGCTGCAGCATATTCTTATGGTAATAGGATGACTGTCAGTACCTGAGGAGAGCGGCATTTGAAACAGGTCTTTATCTGGAACCCCACTGTGCTGCGTCTTGTACGTTAATATACACGCGTATTGTTAGCATGTAATTATGTCCCTGTTGTATTAAAATAGTTTGTTATCATTTGGGAGCCTGTCCTGCCTCCAAAGCATTTTGCAATTTCCCCCCTCCCCTGGGTTTTTTGCACGTAGAAAGCCGTTTTATGCAGAGTTCACTTTGATCAGCGTCTTGGGAAAGAAACGAATTTCCCAGCACTTGCGGTCCGAGACCATGCTCTATGAGGAGAGGCTGAGGGACATGTATTACGTCAAATTCAAAAAATAAAAAGTTATTTTAAAAGGATAGCGGGGAAGCATGAAGGTTGTGAGCGGGAGAGGTATCATCAGCCAAAACATGAGGCAGAAATTCACAACAGCCTGTGTTCCACTGATTGGAGGCCTCACTTCCAAAAGGATGTGGACAGAACGGAGCGGGTGCAGAGGAGAGCAACGAGGATGATCGGGGGCCTGGAGACCAAGCCCTACGAGGAAAGGCTGAGGGACTTGGGAAGGTTCAGTCTGGAGAAGAGGTTGAGGGGGGACTGGATGGCTCTCTTGAAGTAGTTGCAGGGCTGTCCCTTAGAGCAGGGGGCTGTTCCCGCTGGCTGCAGAGGAGAGGACTCACCATCATGGGTTTAAATGAAGGGCGGGAAGGTACCAGCTGGCTCTTAGGGAAAATATTTTGACAGTCACAGTTGTGCCACAGTGGAATCAGCTGTCCTGGGAGGTGGTGAGCTCCCCCTCACTGGCTGTCTTGAAGCAGCGGCTGGACAAACACTGGTCAGGGATGCTCTAGGCTGGTCCTGCATTGGGCAGGGGGTTGGACGAGATGGCCTGTCTGGCCCCTTCCAACTCTGATTCTGTGCGTGTGTGTCAGGAACTGAACTAGGGCCCTTATGAAGGCAGTGGCACAGCATGGGCACAAGACATGCAGTCTGCTCACCATGGAGCACTGCCAGAATACAAGGGTTGCCCCAGTACAGGATAGACCACTGATCCCCAACGTGGTGCCCAAGGGGCACCATAGTGCCCACTGATGTATACTTTGGTGTCCACTTGATTCTTGAGTCCTGAAGATAAAATCCAGATCGTCTTAAAATCCAAATGGTCTTAAATGAGACAGCAAAAAAGAAAGAAGAGCTTTGGGTGGTTCCCCTAACAGCTGTCTGATTAGCAAGCGCCAAGCTTATCCCAGTCAGGCATGTACCATGATAGGAATACTGTACCGGCACAGCAAGAAGTCCAAAGACACAACTCTTTTTGCTTTGTAAAAGTTTTAAAAAGGCGTTTCGGAAATCAG